TTTTGCGTTTCTGTTTCTGCTGTTTCTACTGCATGGTCAAAAGTATACGTGCGTGTGTGTTCTCTTTTCTGTGTTGCGTGTGTGTGCCTTTGCAGGTTTTTGTTTCTCTTATGTGCATGCATGTTTCTGCTCGTGTGTGCTGACTGCCCATTTAAGAATCAGTGTTTCATCCAACTTTCTTCGTCTTCTTTTTTGATCAATAATACATACATACATACATATATAATATATATTTAAATGAAAATAAGATTTGAGGAGAGAAAAGTTAACTCTCAAAAGTAGACTCCCAATATTCTTAAATGATTGGGATAATTTATCTCTTTTTTAATTTTTTAAATTCAAGCAAGATTTTTGATTTTGTTAAATTACCATTATTATTAATTTTTTGAAAATATAATCCTAAAAAAAGATTAAATTTCACTTTTATGTTTTTTATATTTTTTGATTATTTATTATTAAACTTAAAAAAATGTCCGGACAAAATACGGTGTTCACAATTACCTATCAATAAAGTTCTCACATCGGTAACAAGATTTGATCTTATGACTTTATAGATTATATGTCAAATCCTTCACTAAACTAACTTTTATTAGTATCATCTTCCTTTTTCTGTAGTATATGATCCTATTATATTTGTATATTTTTGAAAGATAATCATAATATTTTCAAGTATACAAATGATTTTCAAATTTTATATTAACTTGTTTGGATCTCAATTGGGCATAATTAATTATAAAAATAATTGATTAATATAATTGTATTTTTATAATTGATTATGTTATAATGCAATCTGTTTGGATATTATTTCTCTGAAATTGATTTTCACAGAATTAAAAATATTTAGATAATTTAGTCAAAATCAATTTTAGCTATATATATGTTCATTAATGAATCCAGATTAAGGGAGATGACATGATTTAAATATTACCTGATTTAACTACCAATGACTATACCCTTAAGTTGCAGTACCCTATGATTCCAGTGTGGCCCCCGTCATTGCTCCCAGGGTTAGCACCAAATGTTTTTGCTTTCTCTAACTTTTCATCCTCTGCTGTATGGGCCATTACTTGATGTAAGTTTCCTTTAGATTCCACCGTTGAGTTGCGATGAAATCCGAGGGTCTAAAAGCAAGCCTTAAAATGATGCAACATCAGGTCAAATGACCAAATAGGACAAGAGATACGTGTTTACTTTACAAACAGAACATTCACAAGCATCTCTACCTAGAGAAAGAAGAAACCAGAGATCTTCTCTCTCTCTCTCTCCATAAATTTTCAATCTTTCTTCATTTTCAAAACGTCTTCTTCCACCCCTGGCTCTGCTCTCATCCACGATTTTCATCTTTTTGTTTTCGGTATTCTCTCCCTCTTGATCTTTCTCTCCCGTTCAAGCCTAAAAACCCACATCCGCATGCATGCAACTGTCACTGCCTTTTCTTCTTTTCCATCCGTCCTCGTGCTTTGTTTTCATTTTTTTTGCTACTCTCGATCTCTCTCGTTCTCGGTCTCTCTTCTCTTATCTCCATCTCTTCTTTTTTTTTTTCTCCATCTCTTTTTCTGTCAGTCTCTTTTCTCTCTTGGTGATTCCCATCCTCTTGTGTCCTTTCCTCTCATTTTCGGATGCCCTTCCCTCCATGCTCTGTTTTTTTTCGTGCTCTCTCTCTCTAGATCTTCCTCTTGCGTGCATGTTGTGTCTGTGTTCTCTCCTTTCTTTCACTGGTGTTTTTTTTCATCTCCTCCTCCTTCTCGTCCTCAGTTTCTCTTCTCTCTTTTATGCTCTATTTTTTTAGTTTTCTCTTCCCTCATTTATTGTCTTTGTACTGTCTCTTCTGTGCCCTGTTTTTGCTTTTTTTTTTTATAGCGTGCATCTTTATGCTTTCTTCAACGCATACATCTGGTCTTCTATTATTGTCTATTGCTCTCTTTCTGCGTATGTTTCATGTGTGCAGTCTGTGTGCATGTCCAGTTTTTTTTTTTTGCTTGCTCTCTGCTCTCTTTTCTGATGTGTGGCCAAAGCTTTGGGGCTGTGGTTGCCTGCTCTGCATCTCTCTCTATTTCTACTGCATGTTCACGTGTTCTCTCTGTGAAGCTTTCTTGTAGTTTGGGTTTTTGTCTGCTGCATGCATTGCTTTTTGCTCTTTGTTTTTTCCTTTCTCTGTTTTGTGACTGTGCATGCTTCTGGCGTTCTTTGCTCGTGTTTCTATTTTCTTTCCTTCCTGATAAGCACCGAAAAGGTCTGCTCTTGGCTGTGGTGAAATGCTGTGCGTTTCACCACAGCCTTTTATTATTATTTGTAATTAATGTTTATTTTTTTTTGGAAATTAGATTAAGAATATTTTTTTAATGAAAAACAAGATTTAAGGAGAGAAAAATTAACTCTTAAAAATTGACTCTCAGTATTTTTAAATGATTGAGATAATTTGGGAGATATTTTTCAAGATTTAACCACTTTTTATTATTTTGTTAGATTATTATTTATTTTTTTTGAAAATATAATCCTAAAAAAGGATTAAATTTTACTTTTGTATTTCATATTTTTTTGGTTATTTTAATGAACTACAATAAATAAAATTCTAATCAACAAGAGATTATCTAAGGTAAAATAAAATTAGATTCTATTAATTTTTTTTAAAAATATAATCCTAAAAAGGATTAAATTTTATTTTTGTATTTTTTATATTTTTGATTATTTATTATTATTTTTATTAAATTTAAAAAATGTCTGGACAAAATATAGTATTCACATATATTGTCATATAAAAAAGTTATAATAAAAGATTCCATACATACTAAGTTATAGTCCGAGCTTATTAATTATATGTATTATTAAATTTTCTTTAACTAAAATTTATTATGCTAAATTAATCTTGAAGTTTATTTTTCAGCGGGACTTATTCAATTTTTTCTCTTTGGACATATAAAAAAATTATGTTTTTTCTACTGCTTTACTTTTATTTAATCAACTCTTTTTCCCTTACTCTAGTGAAAAAAAAAGGCTTGAAAAAATTAAGTATAGATTTTATAGACTAAACTTATTTATAAATAAATTTTATAAAATTTAAAAACTATAACTATATTTTTTAAGATTTGAGTGTAATTTAAAATGGGAATACAAAAAAAATATTGTCCTATTAAAAATTATTGAAATTATAGTTGTAAATTATTAATAAAGTAATTGAAAACAATTAATGTTAAACTTTACTACTAACACATGATCGATTTAACTATTAAATATATAAAGTTATAGTTATAAAATGTGGAAGTGATAGTTGTAAATATTGATAAACTAATTGTATACAATTAGTATTACACTTGTAATATATGATTAGTTTACATATTAAATGTATGAAGTTACAATTATAAAAAATTAAAATAATAATTGTAAATTATTAATAAAATAATTTTAAATTATTTGATTGATGTAATATATTTTTAACATAGACATTATTGTTTTAACACTTTAATTTCAAATTTTACTCAAATCTTTTAGGACCTAACTATAGTTTTTAAATTTTATAAAATTTATTTATATATAAATTTACTTCATAGAACTTATACAAATTTTTTTAAAAAACTTAATTTCTCTCATCTATTTTCTTTTACCAACTCTCATCTAATTTAGTATAGTAAACAATTGAGGTTCTACTGACAAAAAAAAATTTAGAAGAATAACAATGAAATATGAATTAATGACTGCGAATTTCTTAATAATTTTTTTTAAAATGAATTGTAGATATGAATTTAAATATTTATAAATAGAAATATGAGTTATAAATTGATTAATATATTTAAAATTTAAATATTTTATTTGAAATTAACACTCTTAAATTTATAGCTATTTAAATTAATTTATTTTTAAAAAATCTTTTTAAGAACGTAATTATTATTAATTTTTTTTTGAAGACTTGATTGACATTCTCCTATATAAAAAAAATTAAGATCCTTTTCAATTACTTGGGAGAAAAATTTAAAAAATGGGTATGAGAAAATCATTAAAAGAATGAGAAAGAAAAAAATATATAAAATACAAATTGTATTCGGAGTTTTAATTTTACTATTTGAATCATTAATTTTCAACTAATACCAAATTATAAACTAAAATTAATAACAATAATCACCCCGATTAAAACCGTTCTCGTGAGTACCGGACCCAGTTCTCTTCGTCGCCGAACCGCATTCCACGCTCCGTCGGACGCCGTCCACCGTTGCTAGCCCTGGTTGGTTGTTCTCGGGCAAGAAGTAAAGAAGTTTCAAACCCTAGGGCTTTTTTTTGCTCTCAATGTCCGGTGAGATTGATTTGTTCAATCTGGCTTTGAATCTAGATTTGAATTTGTTCCCCGCGTCATCTGTTTCCTCCGTGGCTATTATTACTTTGTTTTTAATTTGGCTTTGAATCTGGTCGTGTAATCGTTGAATATTGACGCTTTTGAATTTGGGAATATTACACTTCTTCCCTCTTCATTTTGATTACTAGCGACTTTGTGATTTGGATTGTGTTGTTTTGCAATGTTGCATTTGTTGTGTATTGGTACTCTGTTTTTTAATCTTTTTATATTATCATCAATTATTCAATTTTGGAAAATTCTTAAGTTATTTGTGATATATGACTTGTAAACGACTTGGCTTGAGTTGTGTCAAAGTATCTGGAACACAAATTAAAAGGTTATTATATCAACTATGCATATTTCAAAGATTTCAGCAGGGGGCAGATGACCCCACTGAGTGTAGTGTAAGTCCGCCTATGCTCCTGCTACTTCATGGCCTGTGGTTTTAAATTGCTGCAGTTCCTCTGTCTTGCTTTTTTCGCTGTTTTGTTAATGGTGTAATTTGAATTGGGCAATTTATTTTTTTTTTTCAAAAAAAAAAAAGCAAAGAACAATACTGTATTCTTAACCCCCCCCCAAAAAAAAAAAAAAAAAAGCTGCTGCTGAAGATTTTAGCCCTCATTTATTGGTCCTTTGTTATAAGTTTTCTTGTAGTATGGTCTAGGATTATTCCTGCATGGAACTTTTCGCAGGGAAAAACGAAGAGCCAAAAGAGGAGCAGAACTCTGTTGTAGAATCTTTTTCTGTCATAAATTCATTAATGCGTTTACGCTATGATATTTCTATTAGCTGATATGACTGAAGCAAGAATCAAGAAGTTAAATAATATGTTGTAGAGCCAGTTTATATTGTAGAACTTGACACATTTTGGCTTGGACATGCTCTTTACAGTCATAGCTACTGGTGCTGTCATTCGTTCACAGCATAGGAGGACACCCCAAAACCTGGACATTTAGCAGTTGGTGAGAATGCTGAAGATCTCTGGAACTCCAACACCCGGTGTTCAATTTCCTCAGGGATATGTAAAGAATTCAACTTAGGGCCTGGACAAGCAGTGTTTTTATGTACTCTGGCTTTCTTCAGTCTCGAGTATTTTAATATCTGCTCATATTCCCTTTTCTGTGTTTGATACTGCATTAGTTACTTATTACATTCTCTCTAATATTTGTTTGTTTTTGCACTTAATAGGAAAACCTCAGACTTCCATTCATTGTTCTGTTCAATTCCGTCCTTGCATTGATATACACAAGGTATGCTAGTCTTTAGTTTGTCAAATTTTTATCATGCTCCGCAATTTTTTTTTGGGCAAAAAACTTGATGTTAATTGCTGTGGTTTCAATGGCTTGATTTTGTATGGCCATGATAATAGTACGTGAACAGTGAAAGAACTTATATGTATGTGGCGAGGTATTGGATAAATTCATCTGGTTTTCACATTTGTGGCAGGGTAAAGTGAAACAAATTGTTGGATCAACCCTTCAAGATTTAAAGGGGGATGGGTCTAATCCTGTGACCAATTTTGAATCTGATAAGTCAGCGGCTGAGTATGCTGATCTTTATAAAGAGGATGGGCTTACTGGTGGTCATGTAATTATGCTTGGAGCAGATCCTTTAAGCAAAGCTGCTGCCTTAGAGGCATTACATGCTTATCCAGGTACTATTCTTAATTCATTGGTTTTCATTTTCCTTCGAGTGTCTGTGTGTGTATTTTAAAGTGGGGTGTTACCACCAGTTAATGCCATTATTGTGGAGTTGTGGAGAGTGCAACAGAGTGAAGTTGAAATAGATCGGATAATCTTTGTTTTGAACTTTTAATAAGTGCAACTGGAAATGCTAGATGGATTAATCGAATGGAAAGAAAGAAAAAGGAACTCCTAAACTAGGTCTGATATTAATTAGATTGGCCAATATTTAGTTGCTTATTTAGTATCTGCGAGTGAATACCATCTGTAGGATGACCTCTATTTTTATTTCTTTTTTTGGTTGCTGCTTGGATCTCTAGTTTACCTTGTTAGTCAGTTAGCCACAAATTGAGTGTATTCTTTGTTGTTTCCGTGCTGATATTTTATAACATAACATGGGACAATGTCTCTCGTAACATGTGGATCATGTTGACTGCTGACTCCAAGTTATTTGCATTGCCTTTGTTCTTTGTGGTTGATGATATGCTAAAAATTTACAGATTTTTTTTTTTTTTTTTTGGCTGAGCTGAACTTACTGTGGAGGACTGGTAACTTGTAGGCGGTCTGCAAGTTGGAGGTGGAATAAATTCTGACAATTGTTTGAGTTACATTGACGAAGGAGCAAGCCATGTCATTGTCACATCTGTATGTTTTATCTTATTTGATTTGTTCAGCTTTTTTTACTCCCCATTAAATGATATGTCTCGCCAAATGCTGATAGATACAGACTTGATAGTTAAATTCATTTGGAACAACTCTTAAATTATATAAGGCATGTCTGGGTCTGCAATCATGCGCACTTTTCCATCTTTTATATTCATTTGTTTCAATCTAGAGATTTAAAATAAAATCATTTTTTTTTATCAAAAAAAAAAAATCACATATTTGTTCAGTACTGAGAAAGGCAAATAACTTTGCATTTCAATTATACTATTCTGAAAAGGGATAACTAACCAAAAAAAAAAAAAAAAGTATATAAAGTAACCTCCTGTAGAGATAGTTCTTGGTTGAGAATGGATGGAGACGTTATATTATTTGTTTTCTGTCTTCTCAGTATGTATTTAACAATGGACAAATGGATCTCGAGAGGCTCAAAGATCTTGTACGAATTGGTGGAAGACAGGGGCTTGTGTTGGATCTCAGCTGCAGAAAAACGGTCAAATAGATTTATTTGTATTAAATAGTTTATTCTATCCCGGAAAAATAATAATTCTGGAAGAGTGATTTGGCACTAATGTGTAGCACAACTCTAGTAACTTGAGATTTCAGTAAGAATTTTCTTTTATGGACTTGTGAATACTGTGATTTAATATTCAGCTAAAAGGTATAAAATATTCAAGAGCAATTCTATCTAATCTGAGAGATGAGAGGTTATCAACTGGTAGGAAGTCGTTGCATATGTACGTGTTAACGAATGAAAACTGTCTTGGATGTTACACACATGCACGCATGCAAGTATGTGGGTGTGTGTTTAAATCTCCTTAGGGTGCTATGTTTTTTTTAATGCTTTTTATCATTTTAGCAATTTTGTATTTGTGGCTTCTGGTGTTCAAGAAGGTGAATATGCAGTTGTCACTGATAGATGGCAGAAATTTAGTGATGTGACTCGTGATGCTGAAATATTGCAATTTCTCGCCAACTTTGCTGGTGAATTTCTAGTTCATGGCGTTGATGTTGAAGGGAAAAATAAGTAAAAATTGTTCATGTCTTCAACTGGAATTAATTAGGGTTGAGAATTCTATTATGAAAACGGCTCCTCCTACTTTCCTAGAATGAATTTATTTGACAAACAATTCTGGAATAAGAAGCATCTAGGAATGATATAACTTGTTTTGACATTTTTCTTCAGTCAATTTTTATGCCAAAGAGTAAAATGTAAACCCCTTTTATGCATAGTTAGAAATGCAATTGATATTAATTGATTGCTGATTGTAGGTTGGGAATTGATGAAGAGCTTGTGGCTTTGTTTGGCAAGAATTCACTGGTTGGTAACAATCCTCGTCTACTTTGGTTTTGTTTGACCTGTTTTGTTTATGCTTCATCAATGTATTTAAATAGCCTGGAAATTTGAATTGACCATTAGACCAAGAAAGTAATAATCTTAAAATGTGGTATTACCCCAAAATTTCAGCTTGCTCCACCATGAAAGCCATATTAAATGTACATATTGTTTATCCATTCTGTATGTTAGATTTCTGTCACCTATGCTGGTGGTGTTACTGAGATGGCTGATCTGGAGAGGATCAAAATGGCTGGATTGGGACGTGTGGATGTTACAGTGGGAAGTGCATTGGATACTTTTGGGGGGAACATAGCTTATAAGGATGTTGTGGCTTGGCATGCTCAGCAACATGCCTTAATGGTTTAGTTGGTATGGCTGGGATGTGCTTAAGGGTGAGCTGGTATTATGTTTAATTGATTCTCTTTATTTGACTATTTATCTAGACATTTTTCATGAATTAATCTGGAACTTGGATCCAGACACTCACTATTTCATTGGCCTCTGCTCCAATCTCAGTTTCAGCTGTCATCTGTTCCAGAGATTTTGTCATGATAATTATTGGGCTGTTTCGGTCAACAATATATCCATTAGTTATTGATAAAGTAAAATGATATTATACAATCCATGTAATTGACCCTATTTAGTGGGATAAGATTTGTTTGTAAGAGGCTAACGCTTGTGCCAAGTGTTGTTGTCTAGAGTCGATGCTTTTGGGCGGTAGTAATCTTTTGGATAGAGATGTTTATATATATTCTAACTATTTGGCTACTAATAAGATGTTTTAAGCATCTTAAGTGAGTTGAAATGACCTTTGGTGGTGGATGATGGAGAAAGAGCAAGTGACTAGAATAAAAAAAGGGGGGGGTTAACACAAGTAAGAGCAAGAGTAATATTGTTTATAAATTAGATGAGTATGATGCTTGGACAATTTTTTGATAAATTTAAGATAGAATTCATTGATGAAATTTTGGTGTATTTAAAGGAGTCTAAAATAACATGAATATTATTTATATTTGACGCTTGTAGAGCTAGTGTCATTGTAAGTATGTTTATTAGAGTGATTAAACAATGAAAAACTGTTTTAGTGGTCAAGTTTCATCAATGGCCAAAATTTTTCTTTGTTCCAGAGATTTGTCATTTAATGACTTGTTAGGATCAGTACCAAAACTTTTATCAACATTGCTAAAGTTAAAAGAGTCCTACAAGTTTTGAGCTACATTGTTAAGGAATCACTGCCAAAGATTTCAAGCCAGAATAAGTTAGTATATTTCAATTTTTGTGCAGTAATTTGAGTGATAACGAGCTTATAGGTTCAATTCCAAAGGCTCTTATGGAAAAGTCATATGTAACTTTGTAATTGAGATCTCTCTCTCTCTCTCTCTCACGCGCGTGCGCGCACACACACACACACACAACTGTTTGTTTAATATTATTATTCCTACCCTTCTGTGAATAATTAATAGTTATAACTGACTTGATCCTTAGTTTGGTGGATAATCTTGGTTTTTGTCCAGAGGATTCATGCAAAAGGTCGAACTTAGTTATTCCACTTGTTGCTTCAGTTTCTTCTTTGATCGTAATCTTTTTGATTTTTTTAGGAATATGGATTTTGAAAACCAAGAAATTAAAAGGTGTGTGTGTGTATATATATATATGCTAATTTGTTTAATTAAAAATCATGTTCATTTGTAATGATTGACCATGTCATTGTGTGCTCATAATCAGCTTCTCTTATGAAATTTCTTTAGTTTTGTTTGTGTCTGTGTGCTATTGATTAATTAGAATGCCACTCTTCCCCCTAGCAATCACACTATATCTTCAATATGCTTTGTGATGCAACACTTATTTATGTGGGAAAAAAAATCCTCATGGAAGTTCATTTATCAAATACTTAATTTGAAATCAGTGAGGGATATTTCAGAGTTCATGGCCACACTTTCTAGTATTTTTTTTTTCCTTCCTTGAATTTCTCTAGCAATCTTTACTTTCTCATTTATACATGCGGCTAAAAAGTTCACATTGATTTTGCAAATATTGCAATGGTTATTACTTTTTCTAGAAATGAACAGTCCTTCCAACTGAAAAAAAAAGGATTTATTATGTTAATATTGATTGATCTTATAATTTATACAGTGATTTTATATTATGGTTCATGCAGTGGAGGACTTTGATGATATTATTTTATGGTGATTATGTTAAAAAAAGCAAAAATGTTGATGGAAGAATTACATTGAATTTTCACACAAGAAAATTAATTACTATAAGGTCCATTGACAACTGAATTAAAACCATTGACAATTGATTGTGTTGTTAATAGCCTTAGCTCAGTTGTTAATGGATCTTATAGTAATTAATTTTCTTTGCGCGGGACTTGGATGTAATTCTCCCAATGTTGATTTTTATAACTTGTGCATGTTTGATTTAAATTAAGGGACTAATTTCATGATATATTTGTTTCTAATGACAGTCCTATTAGCCTTTGACCTATCATTGTTAAGTCCTAGCTAGCTTGATATTTGTCAGCATTGCATTCACGCTTGTTATTCGTGAACTTTGTACCCATGCTTGTTATTCATGGGGTTTTGTATGCTTTTTTTCGTGGCTTCTAGCCATGTTGATTATTTACACTTAGATTGTGTATTTGTGTTTGTTAGTTATTTATCCACATAAACTGTGTGTCAATATTTGATTATCTATCATCGTGAAATGTATGTCCAAGCTTTTTTCATGACTTTCAACAGTGCTTGATTTATTATTTACTCTTATGGACTGTGTGTCCACACTTATTTTTCATTTTGATCAGTCCTACTAAAGAATGATTTTCAAAATTTATTGTCTTTAAATTGATTCTATGGAACAAGCAGTTCTTTTTCTATCTATATGGATTTATATAATGAGTTACATAACCCTTAATTGTTTCAAACAAATGTTATAGTTTAAAAGTGAAACTTGATTGCTTTGTCATTATTACTCGAACGTGTATATATATGGCTATATATTTATATGAAATTGTTTGATATATGTGATATATGCTCCTGTTATTCAAAGTAGTTATCTTTACCAAATTCATATTTGTTTCCATGTTTTATGCCTATAAATCTATTCAATCTTCCAAAAGATAAGTGTTATGCAACTTCATTTATGCACTTATGGTTCTTGAATTTCATGTTATATGATATATCACATTGAATTATTCTATTTTAATTGTGCACATAATTATTTAAAAGTAACATGTGTACCATTTTATTTCATGCAAGTTGAAATAAACTTTTTCGGTTTTTTTTTTTTTAAGTCGTGAACTATGAGGTTTATGGTGTAAAATACTAGTATCTATTGTTGATTCCCCTCTTCATGCTTACGTAAATCCAACAATAAAATAAAACTAGTCCCGTGCTTTTTTTTTTTTTAAAAAAATTAAAGTCAAATTTATTAAAAGGAAAAAAAGAAATAGCCTGCATCAGTGGCATGAGGAACACAAACACGAATGGACAGAGCATCTTAGGCCCCTTCATAGATATCAAATTGTGGGCCCAAATAAATATTGAAAATATTAGACACGCTTGTGAACTAACAGCACAAGAAAAACACATTTTGGTTGAAGCCCAAGTAAATTTTGTAGAAGCTTTATGAGAGAAGATCTATTTTTATATTTAAGGGTGTGCTTGGATTTCATGGTATAATTAATTACGAAAAAAAGTTAATATGATTGATTTTAATTATAATAGATTTTATTATAATGTGATTATAGGATGACTTTAGACAAAATTAATTTTAGATGTATAAATTACAATAAAGGACATTATCTTTTTATAATGTTATTAGATATGTTAAATTATATTTAATAAATAAAATAAATATGTAATAGTTATTACTTTGACATGAAGTGATTAATAATTATATATATATATATATATACTAATTAACAAAAGTCACTGGTTCACCCTTACTTTGATTATCAACCCCAAAAAGCCATTGCCATCTGACAATACTAGAAAGCACCAATATACAAGCACCATTTTTAAGGGTTAAAATTGAAATAAAATGACCCTGGCAACACAATGACTCCAATGTGGTAATAAATTCTCATAAGTTGCTGAGATTAGCTTCCTCCACAACAAAGTTTTTTGTTCAGCCAAACGCAATTAACAAAAATTTGAGGGTGTTTGGTTTTCGTTTTTTTTTTGTTGTTGCTAAAACCATGGCTTTGATAAGCATAATAAATTAATTGAGGGTATCCAAATAGGCACTAAAGCGCTTACAATTGGGGTGTTGATGAGAAAATTCTAGATGTCAACAAAATAAAACTCTATGATAGCTCTTACTATTATTCTCTGTTAGGTTGTCTAAATGTCAATGGACTTAGATGATGTGGAAAGTCACATATCAAATAAAATTGAGCCTAATAATTAATATAAAATAAAGAGAAAGGTCTCACAAATTTGAGCTTTAAAGTTTTAAGTTAAAATGTAGTGTTTTTTCATTACCTTTGCTTGTTTTTCCTCTCCTCCTATTCTAGAGTAGTTACTCCTCATTCCCAACTTAATATACCTGTGTCATATATGAGATGTTCCTGATTTTTATACAAATTAATACTAAATGAATATTAATATATTGTACAGTAAACTTAAAAAACTATATAAGGGTATTCTTCTATTTAAAAATAAAAAAAACTAACTTGAACCTAAAATCTAGCTACAAGGTGCAAAAACTTGAGGGCTTATGTACATGGCTCGGCTATTGACCTTATGTCAATTGAGGTAATATATTTAATTATTTTTAAATTATAAACATTAAGTGATAAAAATTATAATGATCAAATAGAATAACAAAAATGAAAATTATTATCTGTTTCATGCTATCTTTCCAAAAGCTTTTTTTATTTTTATTTTCAGTTCTCACTGTTATTTCTTTCTTATGGTTTATATTGCTATCTTTGTAGTAGTCCTTTTCTCTCATTGTTCCTTTCTCTGATCACACCTTTTTCCTTCATTTTTCCCCTTTAATTAAGGAAATAAAAGCAGTGAAAACAGTTTTTGACATTTGAAGTCCAATTCCTTCACATTTCCACAAAAACTCCATCTTTTTTGTTATCATTATCATGGCAGCCAGCTTTATGATTTCATGTCCAATTCCTCCATATTTCCACAACCAGTGTTCTAAAATTTACTGACGAATATAAACGTGAACAGCTTTTTACAGCACTTTTCTTTTTTAATCATCTTTCATATATGATTTTATTCAATCACTATAATTTAGAGAAATTTATCATTTATAATACCATCATATGAAAAGCCAAAGGGAGAACAAATGCTAGAATATTCATCATGGCTTCAAATTAATTACTATCAAATTCACAACAGAAGTTATATGTTATTCATAATTCCTCACACCAACTGCATGAAACAAGAGATAACCATGAACAATAACGTAGTTCATCGTTGGCAAGACAATCAATGACATTGGACTATCAAGAATAAAATGCTTGTGGGAACACACAACATGGACCATACATGTAATTGACAATAGAAGTTGTTAATGATCAACCAGGTTCCTGCTCTTGTTCTTGAATCTTGCTTTCCTGATATGAATTTCCACATACATGAAGTCAACAAAGTTATCCACATGTCTGAAGGAAGCATGTCTCTGTTTTTTGTTGAGCAAAAAAAATCCAATAACTACCCAGAATCCTGTGATGAATCCCAATGCTATCACAAAGTAAAATAACACCTTTTCTTTTCTTTTGTTATCATCCTCTTCATGAAAGCTAA